GGCAGCCGACTGACCACTGTCAGTCGAGACGTCCGCTCCCGCCACAAAGCGGGCGGCCGGAGGGAGGCTGGACACAGGAACACGGTACCGCTCGAGGTAGTCCTCCTCGCTAGCCTCCGAGTCAGCGGTAGCCGAGTCAGTGGTAGCCGCCCGTGACGGCGGCGACGCCGCGGCAATGCCCAAGGACCGGCGTGACCCGACCGATGCCGGGGAGGAAGCAGGCGAGCTCGGACCGCAGCAAGCACCCCAGTGGTGTCGAGCTCTCCGGAGGCACCCGACGTCACAGTGAGGGACGGAGACGCCTCCGAGTCGCCAGCTCCGCGCCCAGGATATCACGCTGCTGATCGGTCAGCGCAGCGCGAGCATGCACATGGCGAGGGAAGACGCGCATGACAAGAGGGGTCACATTTCGCTGCGCAGGCGGAGGAGTTTCATAAGCCCGGATATGGATTTAAGGATCAGTCAGCTAAGTTCCCTTGAATGTACTTCGGGCGGAGTCGCAAACTCTAGCAGGTCGGGGTGCCGGCGCGGCGAGGTACTGCGAGTTTGCTTCTCGAGGGCCGCTCCGGGTATCGCGTCTAAGGGATTTTATTCCTCCTGCATGCTCCTGCTGCTTGTTGCTTGATTGCTTGACCCTTAGGCTGCTTGTCTGCGCGGCTTCGCGCTTGGGCTGGCGATGCCGCGTCTGGGTGCCAGCAGTGCTGGTTCTTTCGGGCTTGTGTTTTGTGTGTGTTTGTGCAGCTTCTCGCTGTGGACTGTGTGCCTGCCGGTTCAGCTTGTTCCTGCTTTGTTTTGCTTGAGGCACTTTTTACCTTCTGCCAGTAAATCCTATGTGGACTGGGCATTGCCGCGGCGTCGCCGCCGTCCGACGGGTGCCGGGTGTTGGTCTCGGCTACCGCTGACTCGGAGGCTAGCGAGGAGGACTACCTCGAGCGGTACTCCAGGAGGTTTAGCTTGTTCCTGCTTTGTTTTGCTTGAGGCACTTTTTACCTTCTGCCAGTAAATCCTATGTTACTGGCAGTGCCTCAAGCAAAACAAAGCAGGAACAAGCTAAACCTCCTGGCACACAGCGCACAGCGAGAAGCTGCACAAACACACACAAAACACAAGCCCGAAAACAACCAGCACTGCTGGCACCCAGACGCGGCATCGCCAGCCCAAGCGCGAAGCCGCGCAGACAAGCAGCCTAAGGGTCAGGCAATCAAGCAACAAGCAGCAGGAGCATGCGGGAGGAATAAAATCCCTTAGACGCGATACCCGGAGGCAGCCGACTGACCACTGTCAGTCGAGACGTCCGCTCAGCCGCCACAAAGCGGGCGGCCGCGGACGGAGAAAGGGCAGCCGCCGACAAGGAGCCGGCGTTGCCCGGGGGTCCGCCTGGGGCAGCGGACGGAGGGAGGCTGGACACATGAACACGGTACCGCTCGAGGTAGTCCTCCTCGCTAGCCTCCGAGTCAGCGGTAGCCGAGTCAGTGGTAGCCGCCCGTGACGGCGGCGACGCCGCGGCAATGCCCAAGGACCGGCGTGACCCGACCGATGCCGGGGAGGAAGCAGGCGAGCTCCGGGACCAGCAGCAAGCACCCCAGTGGTGTCGAGCTCTCCGGAGGCACCCGACGTCACAATGAGGGACGGAGACGCCTCGCCAGCTCCGCGCCGATCGTCGGCGCCACTCTGGATGTTTCCCCCATCGGAGTCGGAGACCTCCGGCGAAGACTCCCCTCGGGCGACTCGACAAAGTCCGAGGAGGAGCTGTCCTCTGGCTCGAGGAGTGCTTGCGCCCGCAAGGCTCGCACCAGACAGGAGCGCCTCCAGCGTCAGCTGCATAGTGAGGCGCTGATAGGTGGCGGCGCGTTTGCGAGCCAAGACCTCAGCAGGGAATAGTGGATTTACTGGCAGAAGGTAAAAAGTGCCTCAAGCAGAACAAAGCAGGAACTTGGCAAGCTAAACCTCCAGGCAGCAGGTCCGTCATCAGGCACGAAGTGCCGACCAAACGCCGCATCCTCAAGAGGCATCGAGCGCTGAGCAATGATGTCCGCCAGATACCAGATGAAGCGGAGGGTGTCAGGATGCAGGGTACCGTCCGTCGAGATGGCAAGAGGGATGAACGCTCGAGGAGGAGTAGTCATAGCATATGCAGCGCGATGTTTGCGAATCTTCTCAGACGCTGCAACATGGAGGGCGTCGAGGTTGACCTCCCCCAGGTACACATCCCTGGTTTGCGCGCTCTCGTCGACTCGTCTCATGAGCACTTCATTTAACGGAAAGCGGACCAGAACTTAGCTCCACCCACTGGGCCACATGGCGCGGGGCGGCCGGGAGATGGAGGCCAGGGAGGAGCGGGAGACGCGCACCATGCTGCAGACGTGGTAATTGCCGCTCAGCGCGGGGCCAGTGATCGCCCGGCCCGGAATGTTGGAAATTTCTTCTGGATTTCGGGACCTTCCGAAGTTCCGAGGCGGCCACGCGGCGGGCCCGGGCCCGGCGGCCGCTGCGCACTGTCAGCCGCAGGTGATAGACGGCAGTGTCGAGGAGGCTTGACCCTGACACTGTCGCACAGGGGGCCGCGCCCAAACGGCGACTCGGAAGAGACTCTCACTGAAAGACAGCGAGAACCAAACCTATTCCTGCCGACTGCTGTCCCCCAAACTTAACTGATACCTTCCCTTAACTGCGCGCAGGACAACAATGTCCTCCGAGATGCCGCAGTGCATGTGTAGGCGACAGAGGCTGAGGGGTGAGAGTCCCCGAAGCCAGGAGCTTTCGCTCACTCACTCACTCACTCTCTCTCTCTCTCTCT